GCGTTATCAGGCAGGTCAGTTTTGACCTCGAATTTGGTGATTCCAGGAAAGAGAGGCTTGTTGCAGGTAATGGTAATGATTTGAGCGAACTCAGGCACAAGGGGAGGCAACTTTTTGCCTCTCGGTTGTGTGTTTGTCGCGGCGGCTGCCTCGACATGCTGGGCTGATGCTCCGGATTGCATGCTGTCTGGGGCAGCTCGAAAACCTTTCTTCAGGAGGGTTCGCAGGACAATGTCGGCTATGCGGCGACACAAGGTCCAGGGATAGACCTTTTCTTCAGAAGTTGCCAAGGCCTTGCCGCTGCGGGACCACGGCAAGCGCTGGTGCCCCTGGGACTCGCCTGGACACATCAAGTGGAGTTCGCTGAAGAGGTCAATGTTGTGTGCCAGGCGCGTGGCTTTTGCACGCTGGCCTCCATGCTGGCAATTATGGAAAACGACCTCTTGGAAGGCGAGGCCCTGTGTCTGCGAGACCCAACCTATATAAGGTTTTCCAAAAGTAACTGTTCGCAGGATTCTCAACTGACACCATTTTGTCGAGGCGTATGCATTTGGCGAACATGGCGCCCGTGCGCTCATACAAGAGGTTAGCCTTCAAGACGCGCTCCTTGAGGACTCCCTGCAAAGATGGCAATCCATTGGGAAATTCATCGCTCCTGGCCGGAGGTGCTGTTCGCCTGGCCTCTGGATGTCCCTCGCGCGACTGGAGGTCCCGCATGGGGGCGCTAGATGTACGTAAAGGCAAAAAGGGTTTCGGACAAGATCCAAAACCAACCTGAACTGATCAGGGTCAAGCATGTCTAATTTGATGATGGGTGAAATCATGGCGTGGGGGAGCTGTCGATCCCCACGCTATCACTAAGTCCCACCTGGCGCAGAGATGCAGTGAGTCGGCCACACCCGGCAAAAATCTCCAGGCCGAAGTAGAACTGGAGAGGCACATGTCAGGCAAAGGCGCTTGTGGCTTGGCTGCATGGCACGTGTCTGGCCCTTCACTGCTCGCGCATGCTAGGGCCTCCGTTTCATGCGAAGGCCCTGGATCGGCCGTTTGTCAGGCCTTTTTGGGACATGCATGCGCTGCATGATGGCCTCCGCAGCGCATACAAACGTGGAGTCCTCTTGGGCATTCTTGACCAACTTTGGCTTGAGAGCAACCACAAGTCATGTTAAACGACCAACAGCGGCGTTTCCCAGTCTTTGTGAATGCGCAAAGGCCTTTGAGCTCATCCGGAACATTGGCGGGCTCCTTAGGTGGTTGCCCTTTGCCTTTGCCTTTCCCTTTGCGGGGCTTCTTGCCTGGCTTCTGGGAGCCTGGATCCTGATCAAGACTTGCTTGGTCTGCATTGCGCTTGGTTGCGCCGGATGCTTGCGGTAACAAGTGGAAGACAACCTTTGGATCGTTTTCAAGTCTGGCCCAGAGGGCATCAAGCGGAAGGTTGCCGGCACTGTCGGTGCGAATGCCATCAGGGGTAAGCTCTGACAGGCGTACCCACGCAGCCCGGTCTGCTGCCAATACCTGCTGAACAGTGGTAGGCTTAAAGCCTTGCATGGCGGGCTCGTGCAGGTGGCTCATCAAGAAATCTGAGAAGGCTTGGACTTTGAAGTAGTCCGTTGCACCGACCACATCGAGCGCAAGGCTGCGCCTCTGCAAGGCATGATGGAGGCTGAGGGCGGTGGACGTGCCGCAGCTTTGGTCAGGCTCTTTGGGCTTGACAATGATCGACGACCCTTGGACGTCAAGCTCTTTCTGAGGCTTGTCGTGGCGAAGCTCCGCTTCACGGGAATGCCCTTGAGTCTTGTTGCCTGGTCTCGGACCCTGGCTCTTCTCTCGGCCGGAGCCAGTTCTTTGACTTCTTCGCGAGTCTCTGTCATAGCCTTTGTTTGAGATACAAGAACGGTCTGCGCCTCGAAGACGAGGTGGCGGACTGCGGCTATTGCGCCCACTGACGGAGCAGGCTTGCCCTGTTCCTCGATGAGTTGCTTGAGGGTTGCCTCAGTAGGCGCCTCGCCTGGATTGCCAGAAGCGAACGCAAGCTTGGCTAAAGTGTCCACTCCCTGCGCAATCAGCCGATCACGTGCTGATTCTGGCAAGCCAACTCTCTGAGCACGTTCTTTGAATACTGCCTGGGATTCCACCAGAGTCTGCGCCATGGTCCTGATGTATCAAGGCTAGCTTGAACTCAAAACTGCAGGTTCCAACATGGAATGAACATGCGCGCGGTATGTCAACCATGACAGCCAGCGAGTGTCATGCACGCAGACATCCCGTTGTTTTAGGCGTCAAGCCCGTTCTCCTGCTGGCCCATGTACCTTGCACATGGGGCCCACCAGTCGTCCCAGACCGGTGGCTGATCCCAGCAGGACTTGAACGGCGCTTGCCCCCAGCATTTCAGAGTGCATACTGGCTACTCACATTCAACAGCATCGAGAGAAGGTCTCCCCTGCGTGGCTAATGTGGATAAAGCTCTTGTTGATTTCTTTTCTTTTTATCACGTATTCTAATCTGATTGTAGAAGGAATTCCGAATTTCCACGTCTTACATCAACTTGCGGAGGTGCATGGATCAGGGGACTCGTGGAGCATGTTTCCTCTGTCCAGTAGAGAATTGACTTTCCCAGCTCGAAGTCTCGAAATTCTTGATTTGCGGTTGAGTTCGCTGATCTTTGGCGATGGAAAAGATCATTCTTGGGGACGCGATCCTCGCTTGGGGCCAACATGATTTCCCTTGACCAGGTTTAGGATACAGTAGCTGCGCAGGATGTCTTTGCCCCAATTGTTCAACACCTTGAGCTATCACGTGGCACGTTTGGCCTAAGGCAGGCGGAGCCGCGCGATTCCCATCTTCTGGCGGGAGTTGCGAGAAACGCTGTTAACATTCGGGATGTGCGATGCATTCAAAACAAAAGTGAGTCCAAATTTGTTGTGGCTGGAGAGTGTGAGTGAAATAAACTGAACTTCCCCCCCCTCTTCCCGTTAGGGTTCCCCGGTTAGTTTCTGTTTGGGGTTTTGGTTTGGGTTTGGGGTTCGAGCGTAAAGAACAGTTATATAAGTCAGTAAAATACTCTGCTGTTTTGTTTGCCTAAAACGGGACGATCTTAGTGTGAGTCTTTGTCTTGTGTACTGCGTATGCCTCTTTAGCCAAAAGAATCGGCTCGAAACACGGCTGCCAGGCTCAATTTGCAAAATGGGGGTTCATGTAGCATGGAAGCTTTGTACATAGTTGAAATGGCCGCCCCCACAAACGGGCTTGCTATCCTGGTGGCATCTACCTCGGCATGCGCAGGCATTCTGAAAGTTAAAGTCTACCCCTCAAATTTTTGCAAATGTTAAATTCGTCTTCATACCTTACATCAGCAGGGCTCCTTATAAAGTGAGATGTTTTCATAAGCCGGGAAGTTTGCAAGTGGCTCTCTGCAATTTGAAGGACGAGAAACTCGTCAATGAGCTGCTGCAGCAGAAGAGTGGGCTGAAAGCGCTTTTGAGGTGCGGTCCTTGGGTCATACCTGAGGAGGACCCCCCATCCTGTAATAGTGGTAAAATAAGAATATAAGAGGACCTAATATAATCCCTATTATCCCAGCGAAAAACAGCCGACGAGCCGAGATGCTTCGGTTCGTCGGACACATGTTCATCCTCACATGCACTCGTGCGCTACACAACATGCACCGGCGAACTACGCCGCAAAATGGCGTGCGAGGAAACTGTTGGCAGGATCCCGTTTTCCAAGGTGCGATTCCGACGCATCCGTCGGTCGCGGATCCATCGCCGACGCAGCCGGAGCGGGGCGCATTCTGCGCCCGCCCGACTGGTCGTGTGGTCCGCGACAACTTGTGTTTAAGTCCAAGCTCCCCCCCCTACCCCCCCCTTTTTCGCAGGGTTGGGCGGGAGGGAAGCGAAAAACAGCCGACGAGCCGAGATGCTTCGGTTTGTTGGATTCTGCACCCGCCCAACCCCCCACCCCCCAAAAAGCGACGGCGCTCAAAAGGCGATGTTGACCAGCTCCCGGCGCCGAGGCGGTGGCAAACTGTGTCGAGGCGCCGGCTGGTAGAGGATCTGGAGGATCTCGTCCTGGCGGCTGTGGACCCTGGTCCACCCCCTCCCTTTGGCCTCCTCTTCGTCGTCGCGGGAGAGGGCGTCGGAGATGTTGTCGGCCGACGGCGCCCGCTCGAAGTGGGGTGCCCATGCCTGTGCCGCTGCGAGCCCCCACATGGCCGCCGCCGTGCCATTGACGGCGCCGTTGTTGCCGTAGCCCTTGGTCAGGGCGCGCTGGCCGGCGACGTTGTCGATGTAAGCCGTCCAGCGGCGGCAGCGGACGGCGAAAGTGGCAATGGCCAGGACCTGTGCGAGGATCTGCAGGCATAGATGAAGGCCCTGCGCTCCGCGAACACGTCGAGGAACCACGCCGGGGCCTCGCCGAAGTCATAGAAGACCTGGTCGTGGATCCACGCGACGTAGCCCCAGCCATTGCGGCGACGCTGGCTTTTGACGTCTGCCCGCGTCGTCGGGGACGTGCCCCACCTTGATCCTACGGCCGCGGTCGACAAAGAATGCGTCCGCAAAGATGGTGGCCTGGGTCGGCTTGGGTGCGCCGTATGGTTACGGGTGGGGGAATGGGCTAACAAAAACTTCGTTGAGTTTAGTGGTCATACGGCGGGTGATGGATCACACAAATCTTTACATTGTGAGGACTTTTCTGTTGTAGTTCTGTCCATGCTCTGTCCAGTATATGTACATAATCTCTTCAACATTGCTGTGCTGAAAAGTGGGAGCACGGTTGATCATCAACGTCTCGATACTGGACCTTCTTCGGTTAAGTGTAAGAAGGGCACCCATACCCTGAACAGGGCTATAGCTAGTCACGAATCCGGTTCTTCTTGCTCATAACGCAGATTCGACAGTGCAGGAGTGTGCAGGAGGGAGCCGGAACCCTCTTCAGAGCCTTGGGCATGGACAAAAAAGGGGACGTTCGCAGCACGAAGGCTTTTGGCTGCCCGTTTTGCCATGTCAGACGACGAGATGCGTCTGAGTGCACTGCGGAAGATACGGACAGTTCTTCTTTTCTACCCTGACGACTCGGAACTGGGAAGAAACTTGCTGAGCTGCGCTGGCACGTTGGTGGAAGAGTCCAAGCTGACTAAGACCATTCAAGCGCCGGGAAAGCGGGCGGAACATTGATCAAGCGGGCCACGGACTTTTCCAGGTTTGCCACTTGGATAGTGGCTCTGAGGGGAAGGCCTTTGGCCCCAGACGAGCAGACTTTGTACGACTACGTTTGCCACCTGAGGTCTTCTGGAAGCAGTCTCACTTCGGCGGACTCTTTTGTGAAGGCCTACAAGTTCATGATGCATTCGACCGGCGCCGTGCCGAATCCGACTGTATCGTCGAGAGTTGAGGGCGTGGCTAAGAGCATGGCCACGCGCAAACGCCCTTTGTGGCAGGCGCCTGAGCTGCCGGTTGTTGGTGTTTCCGCTGTGGAAAATTTCGTTCTGGATTCCCAAAAGTTTTTCAAAGTGGTTGTGGCCGGCTTTATCTTGTTTTGCCTCTTCGCGTCGTCGAGGTGGTCTGACGCGGCCCGTGCGACAGGATTGATACAAGCATTACAAGACCAAGGCCAAAGATCGCAAGGATGCAGTTTTGCCTTTGATTGCTCTAGGCAACGGACTGGAGCAACCGGCGTGGGGGCCGCGCTGGGTCAAAGTTCGCGACCAGCTTGGTCTTGATAAAGCCCAGTGCCTGATGCCCGCTGTTACGAGCGCGGGGACCTTCCTCGATCGGCCTATGACTGCGGCTGAGGGGGCTCTGTGGTTGAGGGAGATTCTGCATGTGCAAGGGGTCCCAGCAAACTTGGAGCTTTACAGTAGTCATAGTCTGAAGGCCACGGCGCTTTCTTGGACGGCGAAGTCGTGCACCATGTCTTATGAGGAAAGGCTCACACAGGGCCATCGCTGCTCGCCGAAGCATGGGATGGCACTCCTCTACTCGAGGAATGCCCTGGCTGAGATTTTGACCAAGGTGGCCAGAGTGGTACGAGCCATCCAGCGGGGTGACTTCGCCCCTGACTTGCCTAGAGCAGAGAGGGTGGCCCGTGCCTTGAGCGAGGAACCGGGCGCAGCAATGCCTCCTCCCAAAATGCATCTCTCAAGGAGCTGCTTGACTCACTGCCGCAGGGATGCGTCCGCGCCAACGAGAAGAACAGGCTCATCTGCCCTTTCATTAACAAGGGAATCTGCCGATTCCAGCGCCGCAAATCGTGCAGGTTCGGGAAGCACTGCTGCTATTACAAGGGCTGCTACTCAGACAAGCCCTTTATCGAGTGCAAGCACTGAACGCGTGCGGGATGCCCGCCGCAGGCCAACTCAGTGCCTGCTGGACTGAGCGGTCAGGTGGATTGCGAGCCAGAGCGTCTCGCAAAGAGTTTCCTTGGGCAGCCTTCCGCCATTTCCGCTGAGCAAATCCTTACTCTTTTTGATGCCTTGCCGCGAGGCTGCAGCAGTCGCAGCGATGAGGGCGCCTCTTTTGGTGCCGGAGCATTTGTGCGTGTTGGCGTCGGGCTTCGGCAGTCCTGCAAAGTCTACCCGAATTCAATCATGGCGGTCAACCGATTCGCTCAAGGCGTTGTTGACTCCTTGCGTTACACCAGTTTTGTCATTCTTGATAACAATTTGGCAAAGGAGCACAAAGATTCTCCGAATGTGGTTGTGCCGTTGTCGGCTTTCAGTGGCGGAGACATTGTTGTCAATGTTGAGGGGCAGGAAGTATGCCTGAATGTTTCTCAGGGTCCGGTATCTTTCTGTGCACGTGAGCATGCTCATCATGTCACGCCCTTCCAGGGGCGGCGTGTGATCCTAGTCCTCTTTAGCCTCAGAGGATGCCTGCATCTGTCCGAAGATGATCAAGCGTGCTTGATCAGGTTGGGCTTTCCCTTACCAACTGCAGAAGCCCTGAGCTCAAGCGTGGCGCCGCTGCCCAACCGCCCCGCTAAGGGCTCATCCGTGCTGGGCTGCAACTCCCTGAAGCATCAGGGCCTCAGCCATGAAAAAGCTTCCTTGGCGAAGGTACCGCGCCTCGTCCCAATCTCGGCCGTCAGGTTCCACTGCTGGTGGAGCTATGCGCGGGTTCGGCCAGTCGCCCTGGCTTCCGGCTGGGATGTCATCCCGATTGATCAAGCGTCCTGCCGCTTCTCTCCTCGCACCCCCCTTGTCATTTTGGACTTGAAAGACCCTCTTTGCATGGATCTCCTTCTGCGCTTTGATCAAGGCGCGCCTGCAGACTGGTTTCATCTGGGACTCCCACGCGGGACCTGCTCACGGGCCCGTGAGCGCCCCTTGCCAATCTCTTCGGCTTTGCGGACCTCAAGCCTTTTGAAGCCGAACAGGTGGCAGCGTCGAATGCCGTCTACAGGGCATGTGTCAGAATCTTGTTCCGGGCCTATCAGACCGGGGCCCTAATCACTATAGAAAACCCAGTGAGGAGCTGGCTCTGGCCGCTCTTGGCAGCGTTGGTCAAATCCCAGGGCTCTAGCCACCCTTCAATCGTGATTTACAGGGCATTATTTTCAAAGCGTGTTTCCTGTTTTGAAATTTCTTGGAAATTTCATGCATGGCAAAACATCTTTAGGGTTGGCTTTTGACTGCAGTTTGAGTCCCCTGGTTTTTCATGCGCTCATGTACAAACCATGTGTGGCATGTGATTGGATTCTTGCAAATGCGCTTTCACCTCAAGTGGCCGTGAGCCAAAGTTTTGTTTAGCTCAACCGAGTCTGAGCCTTGGGGCGCGTGTGTGAAGCTACTGTAGCTGTTAGGTTTTCCAAAGGTGCTACTGGTGTAGTTTCTGCAGACCGGAGGAGGGTGCGTTTCCCGGTAGATGGAAGCCGAGAACCCTGCAATACTTTCGGACAGCGACGAGAGCGTTGCACCTGGTCAAGTGTCCTTGCTGTGGGCCAGGATTCATTCATTGGAGACTCAGGTTTGGGCACAAAGCAGAACTATTAGCAGCTTGCAGACCTCTCAGGCCGACGAGAGCGCTCGTTGCCAGGTGTTGTCGTCGCTTGTCCAAGAAATCCGCAGTGATCTTGACAGCATCAAGCGCCTACTGCAAAGCCTGCAGGGTAGAATCCAACGTTGTGAAGAGACCCTCAACCTGCATTCTCTTGATTGATTGCTTGAGATAAAGAAACATGCAGCGTTTTGCCAAGCGGGGGGGCAGGTACATCGGCCGAGACCGCTTGCAAGAGGCTAGAGAACCATCTCAGGATTCTGAGGCCTGACTTGGAGCCCAGGCTTAATTTCCCATGGGAAAGAAGCAAAGTCCTTAGTGCCATGTTTGAAGAAGGTGGACGTGGTAAGCCGTACAACCTTGCTTCCGCTGTTTGTGCAAAAATGCCAAGGATCGTGCCACCGCAAAGCACTCAGGCTCTGAGGCCAGGAGATGTCACACAAAAGTCTCAGGACTCACCCGATGCTACGAAGCCGTCTGCTCTGTTTGAGCGTGCGCTGGGGGCCCCTAAGCTTAGGTCGATCGTGAGAATGCTATCAGGCGTTGGTCATGTGTACTTAGTCATGCTCCGAAGGCATCCAAGCTCGGTGCTTCCATTTGGTGCGCAGACGGTCTTGATGCATTACCAGCGATCTCCCAGACCCTTGCAGGCAAGGCCACCAGCGCAATCCTGAAGCGTGCCAGGTGTACCGCCATGCACCTCACTGCATTCCCCGTGTCGATCAAAGCCTTCATCGCCTTCCTTAAACCCCTTGTGAGCAAAGGCGAGAGCAGTGCCATCCGAGAAGCAGCCGAGACCATCAACTTCCTTGAACATGTTCTGGGCATGGAAGTGGAGGACGATCTCTTGGAGCATCCGTGGATAAAGGGTGCGTTGAGAGGTGCCAGCATTAGGAAGTCTGACCCCCGCAGGTCGAGGGTCCTCACGACCGAGGAAGTTTTGTTATTGGAAGGTGCTCTAATCGATGAACTGCTTGATAAGATCGATGCCTTTGCCTTGGGTGTTTTCTTGTTCCAGCTGTATGCCCGTGCCAGAGTCTCCGACTTGCGTAACATTGCCAAGCTTGAGTTAGACCTCACTGATGGACAAGGGTTCATTGAGGTCCGCGCTTACGATCACAAGAACTGCCGACTGAACAGTCCAGGGGCATGCTTGATCTTGGTGGCCCCGTACAAAGGCATCCACTCCAAACCGTGGGGCGCAGCTTGGGTCAAGGCTGCCAGTGCAGTGGGTTTTAACTTTGAAAAAGGTCACCATGGTCCCCTCTTACCGCGTCAGGCCGTGGACTACTCCTGGAGCTCAGAGGCTGTGAATGCCTCTGAAACCACTGCGTCGGTCCGTGAGATCTTAATGCATCTGGGGGTCAGCTCTGAGTCAGCGAGCACTTTCTCATCACATGGGCTGAAAGCAACCACTTTAAGTTGGGTCTCTAAAGCGGGGTACGCAGAAAGAACCCAGCTTGTGCTTGGCCATCATTCGCTGGGGCCGTCAGGGAAGACTCAGGAGGCTTACGCTAGGGAGGTGCAAGCCCAGCCGCTGCGTGACTTAGTCGAGTGCCTCAATGCCATTCATCGTGGTGTGTTCTTGCCAGATCGCACCAGGAGGTCCATCAAACGAGGACGACCAGTCCGCTGATGAGACTGAAAGCAGCGGCCCGTCCGAGGACGATTTTGATTATGAAACCATGTGTGATGGTTCGTCAGCCACAGAGAAGATCCCGAGCATCTTCATGGGCCCAGATTTGGATGTCTTCCAAAATCCCAAGACCAAGAGCCTCCAATCTAGGGCCAAAGGGGCCACAGGGAAGCTCACGTGCGGGCGATCGGTCCAAGGGATGAAACCTTTCAACGGGAAGGTGTTCAGTCGTCACTGCAAGTGCAAGCAGTGTATGAGCTCTAAGCCTATTAGAGACTCAGGTGCAATGTCAGCCTTTCTTGCGAAAGTGCAAGACAAGTGACTCGTGCCTGCGCCGTACAAACGAGGGTTTGTGTGAGCAGTCATGACATGCTCTCAGCAAGATTGTTCTTGGCCTGCTGGGCTCAGCCATCAATTTGGAAAATTGATGGGCCCCTCGTGGATGCCACGTGGGCCAGCAGACGAACAAGCTTGTTGCAGATCATGGTCCGAGAGAGTGCGTCAAATAGTGTGCTACTGTTTTCTGCTCGAGCAATGTCACTTTTCACTATTTGCTGATCAAAAATGAGAAGCAGATATCCACCCAACAATCGACCAGCACGACCACCTGATTGTCTCCTGTTGCCTCCATGAGTTCAAGGACAAACCTGAGGCAATCCGATACTGACTTCATACCTTCAATTCAAAACAGACATGCCGCTTTCTTCATGACCCTAACTCAGCACAAGATAGCAGGCCCAGAACTTTTCGGCAGCTCTGCGGATGCATGGCTTGAACGTCGCAGTTCCGACCTGAGAGCATTCCTTGGCTGTGTCTGCGCCAGCGCAGCGCAGTTGACAAATGCTAGAGAAATTTGCCTTTCCCTGGAGGCTTGTGAAGTGGAGAGTGTTTGGCTGACCTACCGGACTCCCGGTAGCTGTCAGCAGCAATGGCACTGGATCTATGTGCACTATACCAGCACTACCGATGAAGTGCTTTGCCATCCCTGGGCAAGGGAAATGCATCATATGCAAAAGTTCACCTAAACCAGACAGGCACGGCCACCGAAGTGGGATGCGCGTCATGGCCACTGTTGGTCAAGGCGTGTCAGAAAGGCAAAAGCTCAACACGAAGAAAACAATTGGAATCGTCCAAAATCGTACACTTCAGTCGAACCCTACCATCCTGTGGGAGGAAGGCTGACAAAAAAGAGTGGTTATTGTAGTGGGCTCCTTGTAATGCCATGCACTGGCTTTCCAAATTGCCCAAGAGTGCTTCTTTGTCTGACTTCACGTCCTTGCCAGGAATCGGTGATCAATGCAGTTTGAACCTGCGCGCCCTTCAAGCAAAGATTTTGAATTAGCTTGTTGACCAATTCGGAATCAACAGATAGCGCGGAGACGGACCATCAAACACAGGCAACAAGCCCGGAAGACGGAAACATCTCTGGACAACCTGCCCATGCTGGCTCCAGACTTTTTTTTACTGCGATGGCATCGCATCAATCGCCGGTCAGCGCAGGCGAAAAGAAATACTTCTTCAATTTCTTTCCGGGGAGGGCATGACCGGCTGCTCACCAGCTCAAAGTCAGCATCTGGAGATTAAAGAAAAATACTGTTGGCCCCAAAACGAGGATGGTGTCCCGAAGAATGATCTCTTCCATCGCCAAAGATCAGCAAACTCAACCGCAAATCAAGAATATCAAGGCCGGGAGCTTTGGGTGGTAATTGCGACCGCATCGGAACCCAGGCCTTCGTCTGCTTTTCAGTTAACTCTACGTCCAAAGGGTGGGATACTTCGCCAGGCAGGCTCACCGCAGATCTAGCTACTGATCAAAATAGCATTGTCGGATGAACTGCTTGGTCCGAAGAACTTGGTCTGCATCGATGACTAAGTCTTGCAAGGGTCTGAGTTTTACCAAATTCTCTGCTGGGTTTGGAACAGATATGAACAAGTATGGAATCGACAGCCAGCACCGTCATTCAGGGGCACAAAAACCACCCCAAAATCTGGCTTCAGCGGTTACCGTGAAGGGCCTAACCGCTGAAGCCAGATTTGAGGGGTTTTTGCGCCCCTGAAAAAAGTTCCAGGTCGAACCCCCGCCCCCCTATTTCAATGTTGCTATAGTCACGTCCAACGTGTAGCTGCCTTGAC